GTTTAGAAAAGAACCGTGCTAGGTATATTTTGATTGCCCCCTAACACTTTTGATAGTCATCTACGTGGTTCGGCCCTCTTTCTACTAACTGCTTAAACAGTTTAGAAAGAGGCTGTAAAAAACTTAGTCAGCAGGGATCCTTCCATCCTTGTATCACTCCCGCTCAGTATTATTATCAATATCGCTATTAATGTTGCTGCGCAGAACTGCAGAAACAGCTGGCACTGAATTAATTGAAATGCCAAACCTCGATAACCACTTTATGCGCAACAGTGGAAACGAATAGTTGTTTATTACTGATATCAGCCAGATTAGCTTCTGCCCGGAATAGATCAATGACTCCCATTGTTTTCAGTGCTTCAGTTAAATCGTCTTTGCCTTCCACTTTAAATCTCGGCATTTCAACCTGCAGTGAATTATTTTTCCATGCTTTTCTGAAAATTCTGTGTCGGACTCTTCTTTTTCCCCTCCTGCTAGCGAGTTACATTTCGAGGGTATTTAGCGCCGGCGAAACGGCCTAGGCGATCCGTCTAGATGTCAGATGTCCTGGCTCAGTTTCTTGTTATCTCAACAAAAATTTGACTGGATATTCTTGTTATACACTTGCGACATCTTTTCGGAACTCATCCGAGTGATCATTTACTCTCACTCTCCTTAAAATTTACCAATCGCCTTCTTACTCTTCTTGAAAATTATATGTACAAATATATATGTAGACATATTTGTGCCAACGAGGTGGTGCACATACATCAAAAACGTAAAGGCTAGTTGAAGATTTGCAGCTGGGAATCGAAGGACCTGGTACAAACGAATCACAACGGCCCAATACAACCACTTAGCACGAGATATTCGCACCGAGTTTTCAAGCGCTTACAATATTCTCGATGTATTTAAATTGAACTGACTTAGCAATATTTAAAGTTGCCAACAATTAAGAACACATATTTGTAATTAAAATACTGACATTACAATTTAAGCAGTTCGAAACAATTCAAAATTTCCAATTGTAATTATAAAACTACACCCGAGCATTTAATTTGTCTTACGGTTTTAGGTTAGACTGTTTTTATAAATAAAAAAACAGAAAAAACTGCAGAACTCATATTTCATTTTCCACTGTAACAAAGCAGTATTTTTATTCATGGATGCTGAATCACTTACTAAGTT